AGTTGATTTATTTTATTTTATTTTCTTACATTTTTCTGGCTCCTGTTTTTACTTTACCTCATGCATTTCTGCCTCATTGTGCGAACACTGTGAGCTGCTCTTCTTGGGTTAGTTCCTCTACTATTGGTCAACAGACAGGGTAAAATGGAATCCCTAAATTCCTTGCAGTGGTACACAGTGAAACGTTGCTCTTAAACTGTTGAACTATTTGCTCACACAGTTGTTTACAAAGTTGTGAACCTCACATCAGCTTTGTTGTGAACGACTGAGCCTTTCAGGGAGGCTCATTTTAAACCCAATCATGACACTTGCCTGTTTTTAATTAACTTCTCCACCTGTGAAATGCTCCAAATAGGTTTTTTTTTTTTTTAGCATTTCTCAGTCTTTTAATGCCCTTGTTCCAACTGTTTTGGCAATATTTTTTCTTTGTAGTTTATTCAAATGATTATAGATTAATTTGCAAATCATCACGTTCTGTTCTTTTTTTAATGTTTGATACAACATCCCAGTTTCATTGGAAGCGTATGTCTGCAACTTTTGGAATCAACTCAATTCAAGATGGCTGCCAAAACTGAATGAACATAGGGAACACAACAACAGCCATAACTCAGTCAGTTTTCAGGCACAGAGCTAACGTGTTGTGGTAGTAGCTCAGAGTCATTCCCAATACTCCGAGGAGAAACAGATCACTGTAGATCTGGTAATGTTGTGTGGATATAGCGCTTTCAAGGTTTGACCAAAATGGCTATAGAGGAGACCGGGGACAGCAGCAACAAGGGACGATTGCAACACGTCATTTTTCTCCAAACAGAAACAAGCTGGAGTGATGACACTCACACTGTCCATGCTCAGTTAGATGCCCCACCTTGCAAAGAAAAAGTAAGCAGTTTCAAAAACTGCTCCAGGATTTATTTGAAAAAAGAAACTGTTTTTGAGGTACCAAAGTATTTTTTTTTTTTGCCCAGCATTATTTTTGTTATACTGCTGTCACTGTTTTTGTGATCCAGCTCAAACTTATATGGTTTAAACAAATGGTATGTTGACTTTTAACTAATATATTTAACATGTGTCCAGATCAGCTTATTTAGCTAACACATGTGCTTTTATCATGGCTGACAGGAAGATAAATCCATATAAAAACAGAGCACATACAGATGACATTAAGATGTTCAAATTAAGTTTACACTTAAACGGGTATTGGGTATTCATGACAATTTTATAGTTTAAAACATAAAAGTGTTTAAGATGTATTTTCTGCTGTTGTTTTCAACAATGGTTTTAAAATCTCAGTTTCTTTCAATGTAAATTTTGAATAATGTAGGCGTACAGTGACAACAGGCAAAACAAAAGTTAATTGCCTCACAAATTGTTCTAATGTCCTTGTCTCAAAAGTCAACTGTATTTTATATCAGTTAGAGTCTTTGACATCTGTATATAAGGTCTACTCATCAAGGCTAATCTATATTCATCATTTGATCAAAAAGAATAAATAAATAACATTGTAAATCATTATAACTTGCAGTTTTTATTAATTTAGCAATAATATAAATATAAAAATAATAAAACTTTTATTTACAGTGAAATATTTTGTATTAATATGTTGCAACCACCCCCAAACAATGTTGCAACTGTCCCCGTCCTTGGGTTCAGTTGCAACATCTGATTTTTCATTTTCAAATGCAAATTGTGAAGAATGTACATGCTTTAATCATCTGTAAATGGTTTTGATGATTAACAGACAGGTGTAAGTTTATTGTATTAAAATTTGGTTTGTCTAATTCAAACCATCTCTGAGTAACAGAGTCAAATGTAAAAAGTATTGCAGCTGTCCCCAGACTCCCCACCACTTAAACCCCTCAGCATCTGATGATCTTAATTTAAAAATTTAATATGAAATCAGTGAGTGATATGTGTCTGCTCAGTGGTTATGAAAATATAAAAAAATTGTACATGAAAATCACCAAAACAAGTCCATTATACTAATTAAAACTGTACAACTCAATTCTTTCTTTTCCTTTTCCAAGTAGAGGTTTGTAACTGTTCCTTTTATTCTTTTATTAGTTTGATAAAAAAAATAAAATAAAGGATGAACACGTCTTTGGGAGACGTGGGTACGGAGCCCGCGAGGGGACATGGGAGATTTTTTTTCTTTTGCGTTCCCACGCAATAGTATTGCGTTACCTCGCAGAAGTCGTTTATCACTGTTGTGCCTGCCGGTTTATTAACACATTCACATGTTCACCATTAACGAGTTAGCCTAGGTACTTCTTCAATTCATCTTCAGAATATATCACACAGTTACTCATGGAAGTATGTCATATGCCGATATTTTAACACAGTGCAGCCACGCAACATCAACGTCAATTTCATGAACTTGAGGCGACACATCTTGTTTTGGTAACTGGCTATTTCAAAATAAAAGTGATTTAATTCAGTTCATATACAAAACGAATGTTTGCGTGGGAACGCAAAACAGCTTTGCGAGGTAAAGCAAAAGTGTTGCGAGGTAACGCAAAACCAAAAAAAATCTCCCATGTCCCCTCGTGGGCTCTGTAGTTAGGGGTTAATTGCGGGGTGGGTGGAACTTTGGCTTGATAGTAAAAAATGGGACTTTAGTGAAAATACTGTAGGTTGGGAACCAGTGAAATAGAGGATGTCACCTCAGAGCAAGAACATCATCATTTTGAATCTTCTCCCAGAACTTTGCATCATCTCTTGGTGCACTCTGGTTTCCACAGTCCAAAACCATCATGTTGAGTTACCTGATGAGTCCCAGTAGTCTGTGGGTGAGGGTGCATGGATTTCTCTGTATTCATGTTGGCTCTGTGAAGGACTGGAGGTTCCTGTTGACTGCTGGGATAGACTTCAGCCCAACCCTGTTTCCCAAATGACAAAAACTGTAGAATAATTTCTTATATATACTGTATATATA